GGGCAAGGTCTTCCGAGCCTTCGAAGGATTAGCTTTGGGCTCCTTGGGGACCGTCTCAGTCAACTCTGGAGTCGGAGACCGAGCGCGCTTGTGAGATGGAGCACTCGACGCCACAGCTTTGCCGCTTCTGCTCACGGGGTCGTGCCGCTGCTTGGATCGACGTTCAGAGCGAGGCGGCGAGTCGGCCACCTCGTCATCGTCAGATTCGTCACTCTCATCATCTTCACCATTAGCTGGGGACTCCCACTCGCCGCTCTCCTCGGCGCTGTCCCCGCCCTCTTGGTCTTGCTCCAGGGCTTGTTCACCATTGGGCATCGAATACATCTCCGTGTAGATCTGCAAAACAAGGAGCCGATCATAAGTTAGTCGAAACCTCAATCAGTCGGAAAATATGTTCAAAAATTCAGTTATGACGACCAGACCTTGTCTGGCAGGTTGCTGTCACTGAAAGGGTCGACTCTCCTGGCACCCCTGGGGTTGTCTTTGTTCCCAGTAATGCCCATCAGCCAGTCGGCCACGGTTTTGGCCTCCACTTCCTCCGGATGAACCCGAGCAGTGTCACCAGCCCCGGAGTACATCCACATAGAATGATCGCGAGCTTGGAGGGGTTGGATCTGCCGACTGAGGAACACCTCGAGCAAGTCCATACCAGTGACGCCCTGATTGATCAGTTGGACTACTCTCTCAACTAGTATGTCTGTCTCTGCCTTCTCAGCAGCGGTCACTCGCAATGAAGATGGAGTTTGGACATGATCAAAAGAAAAAGGGGAAGTCCGGTCGACTGGCCTGGGGTCGCGATATCCTGGCAGTAGAACCAGGTCGACTGCCAGCCCCTGACCGATTCAGGAAGAGTCATCGGAGGAAAAGAGCTCCTCTTCCTCTTCTGAATGCCCAGCCCCCCGCACATCTGGATAACGTGGGTTTTCTCGTCTTTCAAGTTCACTTTCTTCATGGTTTGGGATCAGATGGTAAAGATGTGTTTGAAGAGGCCCCAGTGCGGTTGACACCCCAAAAAATTCTCACACATAGAGACGAACGTAGCAAGGTACATGATGGTATTGGGAGTAAAGTGATGGAGTTGGGCACCGAAAAAGTTTAAGAAGCCCCGAAAGAAAGGATGTGGTGGAAGCGAGAAACCACGGTCGACATGGGTGGCGAGCAAGACACACTCACCCGGTTGCGGCTGCGGCTCCGATTCCCCCTTCGGCAGGCGCGCGGACTCATGGACGATCAGCCCTAACTCGGCCAAATCATCCAAGTCCTCTTGCCGGAGCGAAGATTGGATCCAGTCTCCCTGGATCCAACCTGACGGTAGCCTCGAGCGCGATGAAGACGCCCGATTCATCTTCTTGTTCTTCCCCGCCCCTGTCGCCTTCTTCACATGCTCCAACGCCGCCGTTTTGTCCTTCCCCATGGCGGCAGGACAGCGGCGTTGAGAGTGGTCGTGCTAGGCGAGGTGGAGACGCGAGAGGAAGAAGAAGGGGAATGAGCACGCACGGTGCGAATGCCTCGGCTTCGCCGCTTTTAAAGGCCTACTCCCGAGTGGCTGACGCGTGGGCCCGATCAGTCCTGTCAAGTCCTCCCAACAGTTGCGCACGTGATACGTGGCGAAAAAGGTGGCACGGAAATCGAAACGTCCGATTTATCTACTCCACTTACCGCGGGACGCTCCTCCTGGCGCGCTTCCACTCAAATTTCAAGTCCCGTGAGATACGAGATCCACTGTAATCGATCTCACCAAAGATTCCAATTAGAGATATCACTCGACAGATGTCAGTGAACAAACCAGTCGGTGATTCTTGAATCGATCAAGGCGACTGAAACGAAGTCGAAAGTTTCAACAGCTGTCCTCCACTCGGAGAAGGAGACAAGGCAGATCAAGGGCGAGAACCAGGTTAACTACCGTCCTTCTTTTTCACTCAAACCTCGATCCATTCGGGGGCTAATGATGTAGACACAGACCTAGGGTAGGGTAATAGGCCTGACCTATACGCCCCACCTAAAGTCTTGTCCTAAGAACTAAGGAGTTCAAGAATCAGAAGCAGAGGACCAACAAAGGTGTCGAAGCAAAGTCCACTCGACCTATCAATCACTCGGAGACCTCTCTTACTCAGGTCACTCGACCACCAAACCACTCGACATATCAGAAGACCTAAAGCTACTCCGCGCAGCAACGGTCAAGCATTCATTCGCATACTTGATGCTCATTTGTAGCACTTTAATACAGGCGTTATCTGTAACGCCTCCTCTTAATGTATATTGAACCCTGCGTAACGGAGGGGAGCTGGGGTCCTGGCGCACTCTATATAAGCCACCCCCCTCCTCTGGGACAAAGGTTCGCACCCCCTGTAACTCACACACGTATAATCCAGTCGACCGCCTCCGGGCTCCGAGACGTAGGGCTATTACTTCCTCCGAGAAGGGCCTGAACTCGTAAACCTTGTGTATACAACTCCTCCATAGCTAAGATCTTGCCTCTCCATTCCTACCCCCATATTCTACTGTCAGACTTAGAACCACGACAGCGCCCCCCTTTCCTTCTCCCTCTCCCCTTCCTTTCCCCTCCTAGTAGGAGTATGAAAGAGGGGAGTCCTACTCCTATAAGGAGGAGGACTCCTCCTCCTCCTGGCGCGCCATAGAGGGCCGGTCGGCCTCCCCCTTGCTCCTTTATATACGGGGGCAGGGGGCACCTCTAGACACACAAGTTGATCATTGATCCCTTAGCCGTGTGCGGTGCCCCCCCTCCACCATAATCAACCTCGATCATATCGTAGCGGTGCTTAGGCGAAGCCTTGCGTCAGTAGCAACATAATCACCGTCAACACGCCGTCGTGCTGATGGGACTCTCCCGTGAAGCTCTGCTGGATCGGAATTCGTGGGACGTCATCGAGCTGAACGTGTGCTGAACTCGAAGGTGCCGTGTGTTCGGTACTTGGATCGGTCTGATCGTGAAGACGTTCGACTACATCAACCGCGTTTTCATAACGCTTCCGCTTACAGTCTACGAGGGTACGTGGACGATACTCTTCCCTCTCGTTGCTATGCATCACCATGATCTTGCGTGTGCGTAGGATTTTTTTAAAAAATTACTACGTTCCCCAACACCGGCTGCCACGAATCTTAAACGTATCCTAGATGATTTTTCTAGTGCCAAAGGCGTCTCCATTAATTTCTCCAAAACCACGCTTGTTCCTCTAAATATTGAGCCGGAGCTCGTCGTCTCTATGGCAGAGACACTGGCCACCTCAGTCACCACCTTTCCGCAAAAGTACATTGGCCTTCCTCTCTCCTCGCATAAACTCCCTCTTTCTGCATTATAACCCATAATTGACCGATGAGATATCTATTTAGCTGGTTGGCGCGCTCTTCTACTCTCTCATGGAGCAGTCTCATACTGCTATCTGCCATTCTTGACAGTCTCCTCACCTATTTTATGATGTGTTTTTCTCTTCCAATAATCGTTTCAGAAGAAACTGATAAGCGCAGAAGGATCTTCTTCTAGTCAAACGACGATGCTTTCTCTGGGGCTAAGTGCCCGGTATCCATGGGATAGGGTCTGTATGCCTAAGCAGGTTGGCGGTTTAGGAGTTAAAAACTTACGAGCATAATTTTTCTCCCTATGTTGAAATTTGCATTCAAATTCCTTCGCTCGCCTCTTCTGCCTTGGAAGGATTGGATTCATAAGCACTCTCTCCTGCGTATAGGTCTAGGTAAAAACGTGTCCTTTTTTGGCAAGGTTATTTTTAAACACCTTTAGAGAGATTTCACATGTTAATATAGGGGATGGCTCATCCACCTTTTTTTGTTAGATCGATGGTTACTTCCCGAGCCCCTCTCCACTACTTTCCCAACCTTGTTTTCTCACCCCACAAAGCCAAATGCTCTTGTTAAAAAACTAGTGATGGATGGGATTTATCTGGGCTTGCGTAGCTGACTAACCCTAATCGCTTCCAATGAATTGGCTGCCTTGAGACTTTTGTTGTAGGATGTGAACCTCTCGGAAGCGCCGGATGAACAGTCACTACTAAACGGGCCCCCCTTCTCCACCAAGGGCGCCTATGATGCTCTTGCTTCGCAGTTGTCCGATCCAAATCTTGCACACATTTGGGATTCAAATGTGCCCAACAGGGTCCGAATCTTTGGATGGTTATTCTACTTGGATAGGCTGAACACTCGGGCCAACTTGCACTGCAAGACTATCATTGACTCATTAACTTGTCCATGCTGCGATGCTGCTCAGGAGGACCGCGTCCACCTGTTTTTCTCGTGTCCCATTCACTTGCCATTTGGGAAGCGCCAGGTCTTCAGCCATGCTTCTCGCCTCTTTCAGAGTTGTGGAGCAGGCCCCGTCATCCAAGCCTTCCGCGGTCGGTTTGGCCTTCTGTCCTGCTGTTAGTGATTTGGAAAATTTGGGACGTGAGGAATGGCAGGACCTCTGGAGGGATTGTCCAAACCCCCATTTGATGTAATCCGGACTGTAATCTCTGATCTCACCTTTTGGTCTCACCGTCTCTGAAAAGCGGATCGTGTTCTTACTGGCTTGATCGTGTTCTTACTGGCTTTTTCTCCTCCCGTCTCTCCTAAACTAAACCCGTGTTGGTTATTTTTTCGCTAAAATATATTCAGGTGGGGAGTCCCCCCCAGGTGACAGTTAAAAAAAGTATAATTTCGTCTCAATTAATGGTTGGTTACAATTTTATGGCGCCATTTCAAACAAATAAAAATTTTATCCACGCTGAATCTGAACTGGAATGGCGAAATTTCTCCGCGCAAAAGGAAAACACGGCCGCTGCCGCTCGTGAGTCGTGGCACGGCACCGGCCCGGCCAAACCAACGCGCCGGACACATCCACCGCCCACCGCGACCGCGGTAGAAAAAATCTCCACAACACGAGGAGACCGTAGCTGCCGTGCCGTGTCCACGTTCCGCTTCCACTTCCTACCCTCCCCTGTTCCACTCCAACTCCCCCCGCCTTCCTCTGCTCCGCTAGGACCGTAAAAATGGCAGCATCCCTGCCGTCGCTCCCGCCCCCGCCGACGCCGTCGCCGGCGGCCACCACCCTGGCCAGCAACCTCCTCTCCTTCCCGGCGCCGCGGCCGCGCCTCGCCGCCACGCACCGCCGCGCGGTCGTGGCCGCCGCCTCGTCCAGGCCCCCTCCCCCTCCCCCTCCGCCGCCGTCCCCGGAGGGAGGCGACGAGGAGGTGGAGAGGGCCATGGGGATGGACGGCGGCATCCCCGGGACATCCGGCGAGCTGCTGCGCCGCGTCTCCTCCCGCGCCTACGGCATGCGCCGCCACCTCATGGAGTCGCTCGACTCCCTCGCCTACGACGGTACGACTCCTCCAGACCATTAGCCCTTGCCCTGGATCGTGTTCTTACTGGCTTGATCTGCTCAGGGTATAGCTTTAGCGACTTCAATTAGATCTATCTTCTATGGTTGGTGAATGGTGATCGGCAGGTTTAGGTCCCCGCGTCTAGTGTTTGATGAAATGCCTAGCCTAAGCTCCCGTGACCTGAGTGTGATCTTTGTGTGTACGGTAGAATTGCGTGCCACGATGAATCTTAAGGTGAGCAAAAACAACCCCTGTTTGAGGCTTGTACGTTCACTCCTATCCTGTTTCGAGAATTTGTGTGCTTTGAGGTGGTATTGGGAGTCTGTGGGACTGGGTATACACATGTGTACACGCGATTATCAACTCTTGCAGTCACGTCTGTTTCCTCATCTTTTGCCTTGGATGGTGTGATTTTGTATTGCCTTTGCATCAAATGCTGAATCGATATATCTGCTAGCTGTGGTTGTGCTTGTGCTGCTTCTGTAGCGCCGCAAACTAGGCCTAGTGGTGAAATGGCTGAATGACTGAAGAAGGGTTATGGACTTATGATGTTCTCATGCTCACAAGTCCCAAGTCACAAATAACACCATAAGGTTAAAGCCATAACAAGTGACCCTGCTCTTATGATTATCCAAGTAATTCTTGTGACAAACTAACGGTAGTTGTCCTTCGAATGCGGAGGTTTGAATGTTTACTAACTGTGCCATGTCGTCATGATGGTTCAGTGTTGGAGACAAACCCATGGAGGGAACAACAGCCCAAGCCAGTCTACGTGCTGGCTAGAAGAGACAATCAACTATGGACAATGAAAACCCGCAGGAACCGCAGGTGAGAGTTTTTCTTGCTATTGTTACAGGTAGTTAGTTGGTCATAATTGGGTGGTTAACTGATTATGAGCACGGTGTTATCATGTAATATGCTCTGCAGTGAAGTCGAAAGGGAACTTGGAATGCTTTTCTCAAAGGGAGGGGGCTCAGGAGTTGGGACTAGATCAAAGTACTCTGGCTCCAAGTTTAGCATGGTCGTTGAAGATCTCACAGAGGGTGTACTGGTGAGTAGTTAGTAAAATTAGTCTTTGTTTAGACATGTTCTTGAAAGTCAGCCAACTGTCCTGCCTTTTGATGTCCTTTGATCTTCTAGTGCATACTTTGGGTTCATGGGAATGTGACTTCTA